ATAAAAGGATTAGTCAGAGGCTGAAGAGGGTTGTTGATATGGTTTGTTTATTAGAGAGAATGGATCAAAGTAGAATGACATGAGAGCATATAAATCTGTAGGGAAGGAATGCGGGTAGGATTCGCCCTCGAAAAGTTGAGTGAGTGGTTAAAGGAGGTTTTGTGAGTAATGGGCTTGGACTTCCAGCAAGCGTGCATGAGCGTATTTATATAGGAGTGATTGCACTGTCAAAGTGTAAATTTTAATGAAAATAGGAAAAAATTTTGGAGTGATTAAACAAGTTACGAAAAGCCTAGGAAAGTATGGATTGTCAGTTTAAAAACAGAGTAAGGAGTTAGGTGATGGGGAGAGGGACGGTATTAGGTAGATTGCGGAAATATTGAGGACTTTTAAATGTTTGAGAGAAAAAAAAAAAAAGAAAGGGAGGCGGTAATTTCATGCACTGGCTAGTGTTATACCATCTTATAAAGAGTGAAGAAGGAGCAGAATGTCAAGTGTGGGGGAGGTACGTGAGTCACTACGTAGAATGAAAGGGTAAAGCAGCTGGAACTGATGGGATCATGACAGAAATGTTAAAGCAGGGGGGATAAAGTGGTTGAGGGTTGGATACTTTTTGTTTAATAAATGTATGAAAAGAGGTGGAAGGTACCTAAGGGATTGGGCAGAGTAGCGTATAGTCCCCCCCTTTATATAAAGTGAAATGGGACAAAAGAGAACTGTAAAAATTATAGAGGTAATTCACTAGATATACCAGAAAAGAGACGGTAGTGTTATAAAATTGAAAGAATTAGAGGTAAGACAGAAATGTAGATTGCGGACGACAATGATGTTTCAGAGATGTAGGTATGTGTAGATCAAGTTTTACATTGAAGCATATATGTGAACAGTATTTAAAGGTAAGGAATTTTTATTGCATTTATGGATTTAGAAAAGGCCTAAGTAGAGTGGATAGAGAGCAATGTGGGCAGATGTTTGCAAGTATAAATGGAGATAGGAGTGGTAAGTTTACTAAATGTTCCAGCGTGTCTGTGTCAGCTTGCATCGTTGTGCTCCGGTGTTTTCTTCGTGTTTCCACTGTCAGCTCTACGTGCTAGAACATTAATTTTGTGCCATCAATCCTATTAATGATACATCCCTTAGCGCCTGGAACCAATCTAGGACGGAAACATTATATACTGAGTCAAAAAATATAATTAGTGTGCACTACCTAGCAGAGCTTTACAAAATAATAATAAAAGAACTTTTCTTTGTCAGAGGAAAGAAAGTCTCCCCGTAGCATTGTGTATACATATGTATAGTGGTATACTACAGTGGCTTCCCTGTATATGATAAGAAATGCAAAGTGTCATTTTGAAAACAGGTGAATTTGTAAATGTAAGTGATAAGCCTATAGGAGTCAGTGCCAGAAGTCTGCCAGAAACTTACCACGACTGGTCAACTGTTTTAATAATCTTATCCATGGCCTGCTAGTGTACTCACATATAATCTAGTGATTAGCAGTGAATAGCAGAATACAGTGTTGTAGAGTCAACTAACCCATATAATAAATGGTACTTAGTTGAGTGGCGTTACTTTCATTAAGTTTCTTTTTTCTTAAATAACCATACGTATACTGTGAATTTCATATAAACCTGAATTATATCAGCGGTCACAATATACTACAGCAAAAGGCGTCTTCCCCAAAAAATTCCACCAGTCAACAATAGTGATAATATAGCATTTGTTGTGGTAGAGACGTAAAAACCTAGAAAAGCTAGATACTGTACATGATCTATAAACAAGGTTGAGGCTCGAGCGTTTTCGTCATTGTAGGAGCAGCCAGCATTCAACCAGTTCTTCAACACGCAAGTTAAACCATTTTGTATCAATCAAAACACTTGTAAGCTCCAAATCACCTACAGTATGTTTTAAATAAGTGACCCACTGATCATATCAGGCTGGTCCGAACCCTTGACTGGTCCGAACCCTCGACTGGTTTCAAACGGATTCGTTGGACAAATAAAGCAGACTGTAAACGGATGGGTTGTAGGTTGCCCTTATATACACAAACAATAAAATTAAAACAGCTCGTACATACCGGTAAGCTGTCCTAATATACAAGTACATTTAGAAAAGAAAATACATAATAGCTAGAGCTTCACTCTAAAGAGGTTTAATAATAGAGTATTCCAAGAGGTTGCTAGTAGAATTACCAGTAAATCAACCATACACATCATTATGAATCTCTGTGTCTGTCTGCAATCCAATCAAACAATGGTCTTCCACATTGGATAAATTGTCATTTTTGTGGAAATTGGTGTCACGTCCCCTTGTGCAGATATCCACGAACTAGCTACTAGTAGTATAAAAACAGGGATGTTGTTTTTGTGTATCCCAAAGTGAATAAATCTGTGGGCAAAATTCACATAGGCAATAAAAAAGGGATAACATCAAAGCTGCTTTCATAGACAACCGGAAGCTTTTCTACAACAGATGGGAACATACAAAGTCTGGGCTTAATGGTAACTGCCCTTGATACTGGCCATGTAGTCAGAAACGTAAGGCAGGAGGTGATGTCCTGGTAAGTCAGTAATTTTGGGCTGATAGTGCTGTCCTGGTAGACAGTAATGAGTGAAGCTGGAGGGTTGCTGTCCTAGGAGACAGTAATGGTAAGCTGTAGATTTTATGTCCAGGTAGACGGGAATTATTCGGCAGGAAGGAATGCTATAATGACCCATCTGAGACAGGAGCTTGTAGTGGGGAAACAAGTGAAGTCAAAGATAAGATAAAACCAATATTTTTTTTGCAAACTAGAATAACACAGGAAATAGCAAACAAGAGGACTCCACTAGCAATAGTTGAGGATATATAACCAAAACAACTGGAGGGATTCCATTGTTGGTGCAGGGAGGATGAGGTAATAAGACAGGTAAACATGCACCAACAGGATATAACATCACAGAAACCCATAAGACAACCGGAAAATGCAAACTCCCTCCTGTAAGCTTTTTCAACACCCATGAAATGTTGTACCTCTTCAGTACATGAAAGGACCTGTGCTAAAACTTAAATAGCCAGGTACAAGCCATCTAAAGGGGACAAAAAGATAAAAAACATCCAGGCCATGGGAAAACTTGGGTAGCCACAGCCACCTCAAGAGGGAGAAATCGTATCACCAAATCCCTGTCATTCCTGAGTGGAACCACAGTCGATGGCCCTCCACTCCCAAACCAACAGATACAGATACTAATGCCGGAAAAAAAATCCCGACCCCTAGTACCAACAATACCAACAGTCCAACGACATTCTTCTTTGCAAATATACAGGGTCTAAAGCCACACAAACAACAAATAACCTTTTCATGCCGTGGACCTGCTTGCAGATGCAAAGGCAATTTCGCAGTCTTTCTACTGAGACCCACATAAAGGATTCACTTGGTGACACGAAATATGAGGGATCCCAGTTACAACCTATACAGATGCGACAGAGTGAACAGGCAAAGGGGGGGGAGTTGGGCCCTACATTGCAGAGTCACTTGTTTGCACAGAATTGCTTATGCCTCAAATGATGATAGTGGAAGTTTTAGCAGTAAAGAATCGAGAACGCCAAAATCCAAGTCATGTAGTTAGTCTACAAGCCTCCAGATCAACATCCCAGCAATTCCAGGAACAGCTGATTAAAAACTGACCACTGTCTGGAGAAATCTGCCAGCTCCTGCACCCAACATCTTGCTCCTGGGGGATTTTCAACTTAAGGGCACCTAAAATGGAGGAATATAGCATATAAATTGTTCGGCGTAATAACACCAGGAGGCAGCTCTGTTGAAAACACACACTCACACAGCTTTTAAATCTCTTCACAAAATTCAATTTAAACCAGCAAATAATAGAGCCTACTAGACTGGAAATACAACTAACCTCATCATCACAAACAATGATGATTCTGATAAGAAATGTCAACCATATCAAAAATCAATATACTCAGATATCACAACCATAATTGAGGTTCAGTCATGTATGGCGCGGACCCCAGAACGACATAATGAATTAGAGTCACGAGGGATCATTCACCAAATTCAACTTCAATACCAAAAACATAAAGTGGGACCAAGTAAACCCAAGTCCAAAACCGATAAAAGCAGGAGATATACAAAGGGCAACACAGACCCCAACTTATGCCTAGAACAATTCACTCGGTGGCACTCGATGTATGCACAAGGCTTATTCCTCTAAGAAAAGGAGTGAAGTAGATGTAAAATAGAAATAGACAGGCGCTCCCTTTACAGGCTACGGAAAAGAATAACAGAGCGGCTAATACAGGTCAATAAATCTGAAATGCATAGGAGACACTGGTCAGAGAAATAGCAAGCATCGAACTTAAGCTAAAGGAATCTTAAATGAGTCAGGAACTGCGGGAAGAACAAAAAGCCATAAATGAAATCGAAAGAGAACCCAAATATTTCTTCTCCAATGCCAAATCACAAAGTCGAGAACACCGTCCAGTATTGGGCCCCTACTTAAACAAGATGGTTGCCACAACAGATGACAGCAAGGAAATTAGTGAGCTACTCAAGTCCCAATATGACTCAGTTTTTAGCAAGCCGCTCACCAGACTGAGAGTTGAAGATCAAAAATGAATTTTTCATGAGAGAGCAACAGTAATTTGGTTAACACAAGCTTTATCTGATGTCATCCTGATGCCAAATGACTTTCAAACAGCTATAAATGACATCCATGCACTCTGGCCCCAGGCCAGACTCATGGAACTCTCCGTGTTCAACAAGAAACTGCACGAAAGCCCCTATCATGAGCTTTTACCATCCTATGGAGAGGAAGCATGGACACGGGGGTCCATCCCACAGTTACTAAAAACAACAGACATATCCCACTTTCCACAAAGGGGGCAGTAAAGCAATAGCAAAGAACTACAGACCGATAGCACTAACAACCCATTTACATAAAAATCTTTTTTTTTTTTTCAACATAACTGAAATAGTAAAACAAAAAAAGTACAGTATTTACCTGTTCATTAACTGTATGAATAATCTTGCTGCTTCCCCATCCTCCATTGTCAACTTTGAGCATGACATTACCCTTTACGGGTTGTCCATATGTATACCTGTAAAAGAAATCTAAATACAGAAAAATTATTATACAAATCTAACACTGTACCATTCGTTTCAAACCATGTTTGCTGTTGTTCCTTCATAATTCTAAACGCAATAACTGTGTCTTTTGATTTTATTCCCTGTTGTGAATAAACTAAGAAAATTAATAGTAATAGTAATTAATAGTAGCAATTAATAGTAATTGGTGTTGCAGGTAAACTAAATGCAAGTATGACTATTACTTTGAGTGAACTTATCATCTCACTTTGATGCTGATTTCATCAAATATTATTATTTTTTTTTATTAACACACTGGCCGATTCCCACCAAGGCAGGGTGGCCCGAAAAAGAAAAACTTTCACCATCATTCACTCCATCACTGTCTTGCCAGAAGGGTGCTTTACACTACAGTTTTTAAACTGCAACATTAACATCCCTCCTTCAGAGAATTTGGTAGGGTATGAAAAAGAAGAAAATTAAAAGTGAATACAGGAAAGAGTAAGGTTATGAGGATAACAAAAAGATTAGGTGATGAAAGATTGGATATCAGATTGGAGGGAGAGAGTATGGAGGAGGTGAATGTATTCAGATATTTGGGAGTGGACGTGTCAGCGGATGGGTCTATGAAAGATGAGGTGAATCATAGAATTGATGAGGGGAAAAGGGTGAGCGGTGCACTTAGGAGTCTGTGGAGACAAAGAACTTTGTCCTTGGAGGCAAAGAGGGGCATGTATGAGAGTATAGTTTTACCAACGCTCTTATATGGGTGTGAAGCATGGGTGATGAATGTTGCAGCGAGGAGAAGGCTGGAGGCAGTGGAGATGTCATGTCTGAGGGCAATGTGTGGTGTGAATATAATGCAGAGAATTCATAGGTGCGAGATTACCAAAACTGTTGTCCAGAGGGCTGAGGAAGGGATGTTGAGGTGGTTCGGACATGTAGAGAGAATGGAGCGAAACAGAATGACTTCAAGAGTGTATCAGTCTGTAGTGGAAGGAAGGCGGGGTAGGGGTCGGCCTAGGAAAGGTTGGAGGGAGGGGTTAAAGGAGGTTTTGTGTGTGAGGGGCTTGGACTTCCAGCAGGCATGCGTGAGCATGTTTGATAGGAGTGAATGGAGACAAATGGTTTTTAATACTTGACGTGCTGTTGGAGTGTGAGCAAAGTAACATTTATGAAGGGATTCAGGGAAACAGGCAGGCCGGACTTGAGTTCTGGAGATGGGAAGTACAGTGCCTGCACTCTGAAGGAGGGGTGTTCATCAAATAATGTTCCTACATTCTTCCTGGGAAGGATTTACTAATAAGCAGACTCAACTACTGAGTGGCCCCAAATTGTTAAATATTTTTTTGAACCGATCTTGACTTACATTTGTACAGTGGACCCCCGGTTCGCGATATTAATCCGTTCCTGAGAGCTCATCGTAAACCAAAATTATCGGAAAGCGAATCAATTTTCCCCATAAGAAATAATGGAAATCAAATTAATCCGTGCAAGACACCCAAAAGCATGAAAAAAAAACTTTTACCACATGAAATATTAAGTTTAATGCAATAGAATAATTACAATAACAACAATAACAATAGAATAATAACAATAGAATAATTGACACTTACCTTTAATGAAGATCTGGTGATGATTGATGGGATGGGAGGAGGGGATAGTGTCGAAGTTGTTACTCTTTAGAAGGGGAATCCCCTTCCATTAGGACTTGAGGTAGCAAGTCCTTTTCCGGGGTTACTTCCCTTCTTCTTTTAACGCCACTAGGACCAGCTTGAGAGTCACTGGACCTCTGTTGCCGTTCCTTTAAGATTTGTCTAAAATGGGCCATAACATCGTCATTGTAATAGTCACCAGTACGGCTTGCAATAGCTGTGTTAGGGTGATTTTCATCCATAAAGATTTGCAGTTCAACCCACTTTGCACACATTTCCTTAATTTTTGAAGTAGGCACAATGGAGTCCACAACTGGCATAGGCTTCTCAGGGTTAGCCCCAAACCCTTCAAAATATTTCTTAATTTCCATACTAATTCTTACCTTTTTACCACAGGGTTGGCACTAGAAGCTTTCTTGGGGCCCATGGTGAATTATTTTGCAGAAATAAGCACCAAAAACAGTGATAATATGGATAATATGGAATGTACCTAATGTATCCTTAGATGCACGCACACTGGCTGGCTTGTAAACACTGGCACACACAGGGCAGTTCATGCCACACATGGACACGTCTCATACGAATCGCATCGCATACCGGGTTTTGTAACAGGAACCAAGGCAAATTTTTGGCAATATAATGCATTGGCTACCGGATTTATCGGATACCGATAGCATCGCGAACCGGGGATCCACTGTACATGTAATGTTTGAGTGTTTGTGGTGGAATGGCAGTAAAACAATCAACTGGTTTTAATGTTAAATTTAATTTTCACCAGTGCTATAGCAGACAGTAGGGATGACTGATAAATTCTCTCCTAGTAATCTGACTTGTGGTATATAAATTCCTTGTCAATTTCAGTTCTGTTAACTTCACTCCCATATAAAAAAATCCACATTAAAAAGGAACTTTATTTAAAACATTTATTAGAAGCTCTTATTAAAAAGCAAGAACATTTTCTTACATCAAACATTTATTAGAGGCTATTATGCAGTGTATTATAAAATGTGTATAAAAAACAATCCATATATAATGTCAGTTTCAAAGATTTATTCTGAAACCGGACACATATTAGTCCTGAAGAGTAGCCAGGACAGTACGGGAGCAGGTGAAGTGTATTTTTGTTAGTACGAGACTACGAGAACAGTGGCGGCTGAAACAAGTCATCATGGTTTGTTGTTGGTCTGAGTAGGGATGGTAAGTTCTGATAATTTTATGCTATAGGTTATTTTATTGGTTTTGGTGCTCTCACGTTTATCTGTAAGGCCCTAGCATGAGGAGAGGCCTGTTTAAGTTTTGGAGAGAATACGTGTGTGGCAAACAGAAACACAAAGAGTAATAGTAAACAGAGTAAAATCCCAAGCAGCCAAAGTAAAAAGCTCTGTTCCACAAGGCACAGTATTTGCTCCCATTCTATTCCTCATCCTCATTTCTGACACAGACAGAGATGTAAGCCATAGCTCCATGTTTTCCTTTGCAGATAACACCCGGATTACCATAGCAGTGACCTCCATCGAAGACACCGTGAGACTTCAAGCGGACATCAACCATATCTTCGAATGGGCCACTCAAAACAATATGAAGTTCAAAGAGGAGAAATTTCAACTACTCAGATATGGAAAACTTCAAGAAATTAAAAATGTGTCAGGGTATACCACAAATTCTAACCATACAATAGAGTGGAAAAGTAATGTGAAGGACCTGGGAGTGATAATGTCAGAGGATCTCGCCTTCAAAGACCACAACAATGTATCTACCTCATCTGCTAGGAAAATGATAGGATGGATAATAAGAACCTTCAAAACGAGGAATGCCAAGCCCATGACGATTCTCTTCAAATTGCTTGTGCTCTCTAGGCTGGAATACTGCTGTACACTAACAGCCCCATTCAAGGCTGCCGACATTGCAGACCTGGAGAGTGTTCAAAGAACTTTCACGGCACACGTAAGTAAGATAAGGCACCTAAACTACTGGGAACAGTTGAAGGCCCTTGATCTGTATTCCCTCGAATGCAGGCAAGAGAGATACATGATAATATACACTTGGAAGGTCCTGGAAGGATTGGTACCAAACCTGCACAGGAAAAATCACTCCCCATGAAAGCAAGAGACTCGGCAGATGCAACATTCCCCCGATGAAAAACAGGGGCACCATGAGTACACTGAGAGACAACACAATAAGTGTCCGGGGCCCAACACTGTTCAGTTGCCTCCCAGCATACATAAGGGGGATTACCAATAGACCCCTGGCTGTCTTCAAGAAGGCACTGGACAGGCACCTAAAGTCAGTACCTGACCAACCGGGCTGTGGTTTGTACGTCAGCTTGCGTGTGGCCAGCAGTAACAGCCTGGTTGATCAGACCCTCATCCACCATGAAGCCTGGTCTCAGACTGGGCCACGGGGGCGTTGACCCCCAAATCCCTGTCCAGGTAAACTCCAGGTGTGTTGCCTGCAGGCTTAGACTCTAACCAGCAGAAATAGGGAAAGGGGGCATCATGGAGCCTCTCTGTTTATAAATACAGTGGACCCCCACCCAAAGGCGGCATCAAGTAATGGCAAATTCATCTAATGGCACTCTTTGGCATCAAAAAATTGGTTCTACAAACGACGAAAAACTCATCTAATGGCATGCGGCCTGAGCAGGCCCAGCTACTCCAAAACTCCGTGTATAGCCAGTGTGCCAATGTTTACAAGCCGTTGCGGTTGATTCCAAGTGTACCTGCAATACATTTTGTATTATTCCAGTGTTTTTAGTGCTTGTAAATGCTAAATAAGCAACCAAGGGCCCCAAGAAAGCTTCTAGTGCTAAAAGGGCGAGAAATTCTCTCGAAATACTATCGTACCATGGTCAGCTGCTGCTGCAACACTGTCAGCTGCTGCACTACCATCAGCTGCTGCTGCAACACCATCAGCTGCTGCTGCTGCTGTATTACTGTAAGCTGTTGCTGCACCGCCATCAGCTGCTGCTGTACCACAGTCAGCTGCTGCTGCACTACCGTCAGCTGTTGCTGCAACACTCAAAGCCATCAACATGTCAGCTTTGAGGGGACTCAGGATTTCGTGAGTCATGTTGACGGCTTTGAGGGGACTTGAGCTAGAGTTCGTCATGGCCATGATAGTGGGAAATTCGTCTGTAAAAACTTGCATTTGTGGTCACAGTGGTGCCTATGCTAACCTTCCTATGGTGTAGAAATATACCTAGAAGGATGAATCTTATTGAAGCTAGCTTGCCCAGTGGCTAATGCGACGGTCTGGAGTTTTGAGACTCTCTGACCGCGGGTTCAAGCCCCACCCATGGTATCATTTGTTTGCAATCATGTCACTACAATTTCGTGAGTCAAGTTATACCAGAAAAAGTG